AAGACACAAATGGTCTCTTGTGTTGTATGATGAATGTTCTGGTTGAGTGATAGCAACTGTTACTCACTATATAGTCCTATTTATCAGTATCAACTTTGTTTTTATTTCATGGTTTTACTGCATGCGCTCTAAGGGACCGTTTACCTCGGGGAGATGGTAAGGATTCGCATGATAACCCATACAACAAATTTGACCAAAACCAAGAAATTATATCTCATCAGTGATGATAGACCTCTTAACCTTGGATGTTTTTAACCATATTCATACGTGTCTTCTCATGCATAACCGTTAAACCAAGGACTTTGAACCCTAGGGAATGACACATGGTATGAAATGGGAAAACATTTCCGATATCATGCTAACTATGCCTTGTCCGATAATTATTTATTATTATTAAATTCATCAGGATTTGGAAATTCCGCCGCAGACATCGCAACAGAGCTAAGCCACCAAGCCTCGCAAGTATACCTCAGTACCCGTAGAGGAGGCTGGGTAATATCTCGTTTATCGAGCCGAGGCCTACCATGGGACTTATACCAAGAACGAAGGATCTACCAAATATTCCCTACAAAATTGATGGAATCGCTGTTTATGAATATGGCGAACGGAAGATTTGATCATGAAATTTTTGGTATTCGCCCGAAGCACGGCATTTTGAATGCACCAGCTGTCATAAGTGATGAGTTCCCACACCGTGTTGCGAATGGAACGCTAAAAATCAAACCAAACGTATCGCACTTTACACAAAAAGATGTCGTCTTTGATGATGACACTACAGTGGAAGACTTGGATGCTGTTGTCTTCTGCACGGGATACAAAATTGTTTTTGACTTCTTAAGTGAAGATGTTCTTAGGACTCACGATAACCAGGTCTCACTGTTCAAATATATTTTTCCTCCAGACCATCCACATTCCACATTATCATTTATCGGTCTAACACAGTCCTCGGGATCAATGTTTCCTTTGATAGAGTTGCAAGCTCGTTTGGTAACGCAGGTGATTTTAGGCAAGTGTCATTTGCCAAGTAGAGATGCCATGGTCAAAGACATCCAGGAAGAAAGGCGAAAAATGGAAAACACGTTCATCAAATCTAAACGATGCACAATTCAGGTACAATTCATTTTCTTTTTGCCATCCATTGCATTTTATTTGATTCTTCCGTTGAGGGCAAACAGTTGCAGGCGCCGACAAGGTTTTGGAAAGGATGTAACCGTTTGTTTCTCAGAACTGAACTATAGGGAGATATTCCGTATTCAAACATCGCAGAATTCCGTCCAGTGGGTACACCTTAAAGTCGCATTTCATTTGTTTAGTTTGGGATGCAATTTTTTACCCTCTTTATCTAAAATATCCCCAGAACGCAGAAAAAGCATTTTAGGACACTGGGAACATGCCCCTGGACCTCCACTGCTTTCGTTTTGCAAAGTATACGGTAATATTACGCCCCCCATTACAGATTCCTGGATCACCCCCCTGAGCACCACGCCACCCTTAATTCTCTATCCAGTACTAATGTTTGTATTGTCTATTTCTTTCTCTGGTAAAGGTTTCTAGCATCGCTTACAAGGATGAAATTGCTGAGATGATTGGTTGTAAGCCATCCTTATGGAAGCTCTTACTAACAGACCCTTTCCTGGCTCTTCTTTGCATCTTTGGACCCTGCACTCCTTCTCAATATCGACTGAACGGTCCAGGATCCTGGTCTGGGGCCAAACATGCCATTAAAAATTCTTACGCAAATTTGTATCCAAAAACAGAATTTCTCGCACGCAAAGAAAGATTTAGTTTGTATCGTATGGTTAAGAAGATTGGAGGTGTGATGGTTGAGATAGCACGCTCTTTTCTTACGGAAGCAGTTACCAAAATTGGTGGAGCCCTCTATTCCTTTTTCCTTTAAAAAAAGGAAAGAAAAAACACTACATTTTTACCAAAGCTTCCTAAAAACGCTAAATTTTTATTAAAATAAAAAACATGACACACAATAAAATAATATGCTCAACGTTTTAATAGACTTCAATAGTAGTAATAATAATAACAACAATATGCTCACGCCTGCCAGTTTGGACAATTAAAAGATACGAGTGTTATAGTATACTGTAAAAAAAACATTAAGGACTACAGTTGGAGTAGGGTTAAATTTTGAGCTCCACAAGATCGTATGTTACGATATGAAGTTTTCCTGTAATCATCATCTAATATTATTAAAAGAACTTTAAAAACTAAAATGTGCCAACTTCCAAGAACAGAAACATCTGCTGCATTCTTCCTCCTTTTTCTCCTCTGTGTCCTTCTCCTCCTTAAGACCTCCTCCTTTTATCCCTCGTCCTCTTCATCCCCCTCCAAGTCATCCTTCAGTTCCCCTTGCTCCGCGCTTCTTTCCCTTGTTACTACTGTTGTTCCTGGTGGCAGCTTTTCTTATCCAGATAGCAACATCATCTTTCAGTGCAATCTTCGAAATAAAGAGAGGTACAATATATTAAATCATTCAAATGCACTTAAACCAATAAAAAATGCAAATACTTACGCCTCCCTTTCTTCTGCCATCCTTTCCTCTGCTCTCTGTGCACGTGCCTCTGCCACTGGTCGAATTGCCGGTCTTTCGTCTGCCACCGGTTCCTGAGCTCTCTGTGCCCTTGCCCTCTGTGCAACTGCCCCCTGTGCCATTGCTCTTTGTGCCCTTGCCCCCTGTGCCCTTGCCCCCTGTGCCCTTGCCCCCTGTGCCCTTGCCCCCTGTGCCATTGCTCTTTGCGCAACTGCCCTCTGCATTGCCAATGCCCTCTGTACCATTGCAATTGCCGGTCTTTCCTCTGCCACCCCATTTTCTGCTCTCCGTGCACGCGCCTCTGCCAACCTCGCCTCTCTTTGGCTGGATTGGAAGCTGTTTGTTCTTATCCAGCGAGGTGTTCCATCAATTTCAACTCGGAGCATACTTCAAAATAAAAAGCATAAAAAGCATTAAAAGTGTAATATCCCTGAAGAGACACTGAGAGTAAGACGGAAATACTCACATCARCCCTTCTCCTTTCTCTTCTTTCTCTTCTCGTGGTATCTGGTTTTCCATCCTTCTAACCCAATAAGGCCTCCCATTAGCCATGTCTCGGCGCAAACTTCAAAAAAMGTGTTTTATYTRATTAAATTAACTTAATCGTCGTTTAAAGATGGGATCAATTCAACTACCACTACTCACATGACCCCTTCCATTTGCTCTTCTTTCTCTTCTCGTGGTATCTGGTTGCTCTCTCTTCTTATCCGTCGAAATCGTCCGTTGACTATAATTTCTTCTTCTTGATAAACAGGTTGTGGCTGTTGTCGTCGTCGGCTAGTAATCGTTAAGTAAGTTTATATTTTATTATTCACTTATTTATTATCTATTTTGTATATAGGTCTATTTTAGTTATAGTCTATCAGTGATGTGTTCTCCCTTTGATGCGCTTTAATAAATGCAAATGTAGATGTAGAAGTGATTACAATCAATAGACCTCCTCTGCTCGGGCGTAATGTTTTCTCATTTCAGACCACGTGTGATTCCCTTGAAAATATGATTCTTTGTTTGAGTAAGCGTTAAATAAATAAATGTTACACTAGGAAATAACACGTGTTCTGAAATGGAAAAACATTACGCCCGAGCCGAGAAGGTCTACGAACTGTTAAACCTGATTTATCATTGAATCGAAAATACAAGTAAATTTACACGGTATCACTCACCAACAGTGTCGGTAAACCATAAAGCCCAGATCAACAAAGAGCACAAAGAAAAGGACATAAAAAAGGTAGCGCCGAACATTGACAGCATTATCTTGCGGGATAAAGATCGCTAGTGCAGTGGTGGAATTTGCACTTGTGTTGGCAATAACTTGATCTAATCAAACAAAATGATATAAGAGGATGATGAGTTAACAGTGTCCCATCCCATGGCTACCTATCACTCCTGATTCCACACCCTTCTACCCCACCCATGACTTGCATGTGAACAGTGTCTTATCCCATGGCTACCTATCACTCCTGATTCCACACCCTTCTACCCCACCCATGACTTGTATGTGAACAGTGTCTTATCCCATGGCTACCTATCACTCCTGATTCCACACCCTTCTACCCCACCCATGACTTACAAGCGAACAGTGTCTTATCCCATGGCTACCTATCACTCCTGATTCCATACCCTTCTACCCCACCCATGACTTGTAAGTGAACAGTGTCCTATCCCATGGCTACCTATCACTCCTGATTCCATGCCCTTCTACCCCACCCATGACTTACAAGTGAACAGTGTCTTATCCCATGGCTACCTATCACTCCTGATTCCACACCCTTCTACCCCACCCATRACTTGTAAGTGAACATTGTCCCATCCCACTGCTATAATACCTATCACTCTCTGTGAAATTTAAATGATGTTCTATCTACCTGGGATAAGAGCTGCTTTAATAGTGTTSAACRTTCGGTTGACAAAATCATTTGACAGCAATTGAGGTACTTCTGGATTTGTCACTGCAGGATATAAGACACACTTGAACTCACTCTATGATTATTGGGTAAGAACATTCAGCAAATCTTTGATATGATGCAAACTCGAACATGATAATATCTGATGGTGGTTTTGTTGATCCGGTAGAGATCTTGAGGATGAGTCTAAACTTTGTATGCCGTGCATGATTATGATGTTCAGTTCATCCACGCTTTACGATAGAGATTGAAACGATAGAGTTTGCTTTTTTCAAAAGACGAGATCTATAGAATTTTGGAAAAAACTTTATTCTCTGTTTAGAAACACACACACGCACACACTCTCACACACACACACACACAAAAACAACCAACTATTGTGTTTTGTTTTCGCAGCCGATGCCTTTACAGATAACTCAGCCTTTGTCCTCATAATTTACGATATAAACCTGCTTAACCTTTTCTAATGAATAATGTTCACTATTAGCCTTCAAGGTAGAGACACATTTGCATTCAACATTAGATACATATGGAAGGAAGAGATTTTTTACGATTATTATTGCGGTGCGTGCATCAGATATCAATCTCCTCCTTACTGTAAGTACTTAATGCTACTAACTCTTAAAGCGCCCGTGTCCTTACCGTTGTTAATAAATTCATGCACGACAAAAGTTTGTACCTCGTGGACCAGGAGTTTGACTTGTTCTGCAAAGAAATCAAATCATGGTAAACTAGAATTGAACAATATATGCGGACAGACTGTTAGTGCGCGAGTGGCGCGCAAATCAACTATTTCCAGAGCAAGTTAAATGCTGGTAATGTGTGATGCTGTGTACCTGACTGGATGCTACTGGGGATGTGTGAAAATATCACGTGATCTATGACGTGTTCTATTCCGAAATAAGACGCAAAAACAAGGCCAATTATTAGTAATGCAATCATCTTCGAATTCACGTGTGGAATGTTTCTGTATCTGAGAGATCTGAAGTTTTCGCGCGTTTTTTGTGATGTAATAATAATCTGCACATGACGTCATATTCCGAAAATACCAAATATGGTTAATGCGTATCTCTTAGAATACTTAACGCGCGCGCGCTTAACGTCACCCTAAGGAAATGCCAAATATGGTAAATGACTACGGTCTTGGAATACCCAAGGCGAGCGAGGGATTGATTAATCTCCCCCACAGCCGCTTTCAGTGTCGTCACGCAACTGAAAGCGGCTGTGGGGGAGACTAGGGATTGATTGATTGATTTAGGAAACTTCTTTACCTTAGTGATTTTCTAGGTCTTATAATTAAACAAGCTTTCTAGTATAACAACATATTACATCACATAAACTGGTCCTATTGAAATTACTGAGTTGCTTGAGGTATTTAAAGAAACTTGATTTGAACGCTTTGGTGTTCTTGGAATCCCCATGCAACTTCAACGACAACACTGTCCCCCCCCCACACACACATTGTGATAAACAAGGCGTTGGTCGTTCGTTTTGATTTTTGGCAGAAGTTGGTCTTTGCAATTGCACATTTCGTAATTGGCAAAGCTCCTTCAATGACTTTATGACTTTATTTCAAAATCAGTCACTCTAAGTGAATATGCGCGCACTTACGGTAAAAACAAAACAAAACAAAAAACAAACAAACAAACAAACAAAAACAAAAAACAAAAAACAAAAGGAAAACCAAACGTAAAAAACGAACATATTTAAAGAGGACAAATAAAAGGCTAATATACTGAAAGTGAGATTACGACTGCCAAAAAACAAAACACGTTACTGGTTTACGAAGAAAACTTTGCCGCCAAATACAATGGAGACGCTTTTAAAACACGAGATAAATCTGGAAGGTACTATTAGTGAAGAAAAGKTTCTTGAACATTAGCAGAACAYAACTATAAAACAACTGCAAGGTTCAGCCGCACAGCCTTTAAATGAAATGTTATTCCAAAAATATCGTTTATCGAAAATATACATTTTATTCCATGGTTCTATCACCTCATTTAATATTAGTTTAATCAGGTTACATTCGAGCAAGTTTTCTACGATACTTTTGAAGTTTTACTTGCTCATGTCATAGTTGATAGAGGGGAATGGTTAGGAAATATTGTTATTAGGACTTTGTTCGCTTTCGATGTTGAACCGGTCTTGACCATGCACAATGTTTGATTTATGCTCATCCTTCGAAATTGCAAAAAAAATTGTCTATGGATTGTTGGAAGGAATATTCAAATACCTCTTATAAATCTTTAAGTATTTTGAACTAGCAGCCAAAAGAAAGATTTTGGTCTGTTCACTTCCTAACCATACCCCTCTATTAACTAGGCTCATGTGTATGAAACACGTTTTCATTCACAAGTTTTGCCTTTGTTTTACCAAGAGAATATGAAGTAAGCTTACTTAATATTCTCTTTTGTTTTACCGATATGCTAAAGCTGTTGCGTCCGTTCTACTTAATCGTCCTTGTTTTACAAGGTTAGTACTTAGCAGCCAGTGGATAAGAAACCTGTAGCCATCGTATTATGATTGAAGTTGGCCTTTGCGGAGGGAGAAAAAGCGAAAAACCCGGAGAAAAACCCTCGATATGTTTAAATTTGACAGTACTTGCCGAATCACGTGACACTCCCTAAGGAACTGGTCATGGGGTTTCCTTTTTTCCGGCCCTCCCCCCCCGGTACATAATAGGGACCTTAAGCTGCAGGACAGCAACGTGGGCGAAATTGAGGCGCTTTAATCTTCTATTGTATTATTATTTCGTGTTTACCTAGTATTTTACTCAATAAGCATCCCCGTTTTAGAGTGGAATGACGTCTTTTGGGAGCGCTATACTTATAACGAAAATCGGCAAAGATAAGCCTTTGGCGTAGCCGTTCTCTTAAGTACGTAAAAATAGGACATTTCACGTCTTACCTTCAGCATAAGACGGCAATGATGCACAGTATTTCGTACATTCCAACGAGGATCTATGGAATAGCGCAATTAGTGCTATTGTATGGTTGCCGTCGTCGTCGTCGTTGCCGTCCTGCAGCTTAAGGTCCCTAATAATCAGTTCCTAACTCGATGAGATACTTTCGTTACCCACTCGAGATGAATTTTTTGCGTTTTGGCCTTGCTAACTATAGGATTTGAAACGGGATGCCTATAGTATTCGGGCGAAAACGGAGCCGGGCGTGCGCACCGGCATGTCTGTTTTCTTCATGCGTAGATGACAATATTGCATTATTTGCATTTTTGATCGTTTCAGTGTAGGAAACGAAAACGCTTATGTGGACGCGAAGCTTTTGATGCGTTTTCGGCGCCGAAACGAGACGGAGCGTTTGGAAAAAGCATTAGTGTAGACATGGCGTTATTTGACTCCCACTACCAAGATGCTTGGCGAATTTTCTTACTCATTTAAATTTGTATTCCTTCATGAGAATAGTAAGATAATGGGTGTAACTTAACAAAAGAAAGTGTGCAAGTGAGTCTGGTAGAAAAGGTCAATTACGCCATCTGCTAACGTCCTATTCTTTCTCATGTAAAACTGCATTCTAACATGGCTGCCGTCACGTGGTGGTGCAAACACTCTATTTTCTCAATAACATTGCAATCATTATTACAAGGAAGACAATTGCAGTAAATGCCAGTGGAAGTGAAGAATTATCTCCTTTCTCATGTTTAACTACTCTAGTCTTTGTTGAATGCATAATATTGATATCAGCATTCATGATGGCTTCCCTCGCCCCAGGCCAGACTCCAGGCCCTGTTAGACGGTACTGGGGAGGGGTACAAGGGCCGACGAAACATCGCAAAGCAAGGGCTGGGTCTGATAACAACAGATTCAAGAAAGAAGGCTTACATCCAACCTGTTCAGCTAACTCATCGCAGTATGATATGTACTCAACCTGGAGATCATGAAAAGTAACATGTTATGAGAATCAAAAAAAACTTAAGAATCCAAAATTGATGAGCTCTGAGTATTTCATATTTCCATAAAATATGTTGAAAAGAAAATTCCAGTGTAATTTATGAATGTGTAAAACAAAGTTAAATGTCTGGCCAGGGTATTGTGCATCACATTGAATGATCTATTTGGGTAATTTGAAAAACAATTATTTCATAACTAGCTATATGACCAATGTTATTGAGGATGGGAGGGTGTACAGGCAAAAACATTTCTGTCAAAGTTGCTGGTGATGGCATACCCTCTTAAAATAAAGTATGATTGATTGATTTTCTTAAGGMWCATTCACTTTTGCTAAACCTTTGTAGTAACTAGTATTGAGTATTCCATACAGGAAGCCCACCATGGAATTCATTCTCTTGGGATTGTAAAAGTCTCATTTCCAAATATTAATTTTGAAAACATCAATTCAGTTACAGAAGCAAATAGATATGTGATGAATGCCATAATAAAATATCTTCCAGTTAGAATTTTTACTTCATAATGAGATTTAATGTGCCAGTATGACACCGAACTCAATATTTTCAGCATTGATAAATGAAGTGAAATACAGTTGAATGGTAAAAAATCTTTATATGTTTTGAGTGATGCATCTTGGAGATATCAAGGTTATACTTCCCCTATGTAAATAAGTGTGATGTTATCGGAAGCATTTGAGTTTTCATCATTTGTAAACTGAAGCACTGAGAAAATAAATTTACGATAACCTTTCCTACCTTTCTATAAATCTTTAGTACGGCAATGATGTCTTATACACGACATTTTACTTCCCCAGAAAAGTTTTTTGTTTYGTATTATTTAATAGTGCTTCCAATATTACGGTATCACAGAATCAATACCCACAATATCAAGGTAAATGTACTAGGTATTTTTACCTGAATAGTATGCCTCCTTGATGTGTAATACCTCTTTCTCATTTCTTCTTTCTTCTTCTTGATGTCGTTCATCATATCGCCTTCACTGGGTAGCTTTAGGATTCCTTTGAAGACACGAGTTGCCCAACGACATTGAAGTTCAGCTAAAGGGTTGATAGCCCCTAGGGGTTGGAAACACCCTATGACAGCAAGACTCCACTTGGGGAGGTGAGGTGGAAAAATATACTTGTACAGAGTAACATCATTATCATCTACTGGGATGATAGACTTGTCAATAAAGGAAAATCCAATGTCATAACCTGTGCAGAAGATGACTGCATCCAAATCAACTGCAGTTTTATCCTCAAAGACTACCCTAGACTTTGTGAAGTGAGCTATATTTGGCTTTACAATAATTGTTCCATTGATAATCCTATTAGGAAGATCATCATTAAGTGTTGGATGTTGCTGTAAAGGAGAGTGATCTGGCTCAAGTCCAAAACACCTATGATCAAACTTCTTGTTTACCTGAGCTTTTATCAAGTCGCCAACAAAGGATTTGGGCAAGAGTTGAAGTATGCGACGATTGGCCCAATGGTCAATTGGAACACTACTCTCATGCAATCTTGAAAGCACCCATGATCCTTTTCTGGTACTGAGATACACTTGTGAAGCATGCCGACTTAGTTCTACTGCAATGTCACTACCAGAATCACCAATACCTTTTAAAATAACAATATTATAAATAATGAAATGATTATAATACCACAATAACACTATACTTTAATCCAAACTATATTGGCTATCTTTGTCTAGTGCTGAGTTTCAATCAGCTGATAAAAGTCTTTGAATCTCATTATCTGCCTCTAAATGCTGGTCAAACACTGACACCATGTGCTGTCAACCAGAAAGAATTCTATTAAAAACTTGCAAGGCTAACATAGAAAAGAAATGCCACAGACAAGGGCGGCAGATCCCAGGGAGGGGTCCAGGGGATCGGCATCCCCACCTCCTTTACAAGTCGTTGTTAATTTCCCCTTTTTAACTCATGGATACGCAAAGTATAGAAATTAGTTGATTGTGAGGGGTCCTGGATCTGCCCTTGCACAAATTCCATCGAGAAAAGTCTGATTTGTCTTGTTTTCATTCAGTTCAGCTGATATGAACATTTTGCACAAGACAGAAAATAACGTCAAGTACAATAATCGAGCAATAGTAATAATGCTGACCACCTTTAACATCTTAAGGAAGACCCTTAAAATCCAAATTTCTCTCCCCAGAGATATCTTTAGTAATCCATATCCAGGATTTTTTTGAGAGAGGTATAAAAGGTATAAAAGACACAAGAGTCATGACTTTCACTAGACTTGAAGTTCTGAAAGGCYCATTGGCCCTCTTCTTCAGTCGTTTCATACAAGGCTCGTAATTTACCTATTACGCATGTTCTTAGAGATATCTTTAGTACGTTAATTATCACATTTTGAGAATAATTTTGAAAACAAGTATAGAAGGAAACCATAAAACTTACCTACGATCAAAACTCTTTTGTCCTCAAAGCGTCTGAAATCCTTGTAAGCATGACTGTGGATTTTAATGCCATTAAATTCATCCATTCCTTGAAAGGATGGCCAGTGTGGACTGGAATGGTGTCCAATGCATACCATAACAGCATTGTATACTTCCGTCTTGACTACATTAGCTTCTGCACCGATAAGACTTACATAACACACTTCCCAGTTTCCCGTGTCGTCGTAGTCTCCAGCCYTTCGTATRTCTGTAACTTTTGTTTGATATCGAATGTACTTGTACAAATCAAAGTGTTTGGCGTAAAGATGGAAGTACTCCATAACCTTTGTATTGTGCATAAAAGGGGCAAAGTCGTTAGGAATCGGGAAATCAGAGAAGCACATCATCTCTTTGCTTGTGTTGATGACTGTAGAACGATAGACTGAGCTGTGTCGTTCTTCTTCAGTGAAGTTCCACAGTCCACCGATAGTGTCTTCTTGCTCGAAGCAAACTGGTTCAATGCTTTCATCGATACACGATTTCATGGCAACAAGTCCAGAAGCACCTGATCCAATGACTGCTACCTTCATGATGAATTATACTGAGCAGATTCTCCTCGCAGGGTAAAACTACAATCTTTGATGCCTGACTGCCTTCCCCACTGCCCCTCCCCACTGGTCCCCACTGGGGAAAAATTCGGTTACCGGCCACAGGAATCCCAAAACCAATTAATAGAAGGTTTGATTTGCTGGCTGCGCGTGATTAACTATAACTAAGTTCCTATGCATGGCAACTACGACCTCAACTTGTAACCATTATTTGTGGTCAATAAATGAAACTGTAAAATGGAGTATTGTCACCATCTTCCACCAATTAGACCCCGGTTCAATTCTAAGACAAGTCATATCTCGTGTGAGTAGATTTGGTTGTTGGTTGTCTCTGTGCTTTGAGGTATTCTTCGATTGCATGTTACGTCATCGCGGCCATGTTGGTGCCATTTAACAAAAAATTTCTCATTAGCACCCATTGTGAACGGCACCACAATGGCCGCCATGCTTTTGTCTTTTGGCTTTCTTGGGAATGCTTGCAATCCATCAATTCCTCCAGTTTTCTTCAACTCCTAAATTCCAATTTGATCTGACATGCTCTGGTTCAGGAGACTAAGCAATCACTCCCTACATGTTCCAAGTACAGTAAAATATATTATTTCCCTCTCAATCCAGCTTGCCACTATTAATGCCCATCAGATCAGCTGCTTGTTTTTTTATATTACATGATTGTAACACTATGTAACTCTTCTGTTTTCTTCAAATAATATGACCAGGTTAGAAAATGCTGGGTTTCCTGTTCATTTCCTCCCCAAAGTATGCGAGCCTGGTACAGCGTATCTAGAATGCGGGTAACGGGTAGCGGGTAGCTTAAATGGCAAACACTGAGATTAGACGTTGAGAAAACATAACGCTTCAAATCGAAATATTAGCAATTCATGTTGGTAAATTATAATATGAATTTCGATGTTCTCTTTTGTTGTCGAGTTAAGAATAAATGATACTGGATAAATGATACGGGACTTTTCCGAATCATAYCCATGAATGAAATTTAGGCAAAAAGCTAAAGAACAACTATAGGACGTTTGCATGATGGCGTCATTTGACTCCCACTACCATAATGCTTCGCGAATTTTCTTTCTTATTCAAATTTGTATTTCCCTATGAGAATAGTAAGACAATTGGTGCTAATTAACTGAATAAAAGAAAGTGTGCAAGGGAGTCTGGTGGTAGAGGTCAGGGACGCGCCATCATGCAAACATCCTATTGAAGCGACTGTTTAAAAGTACCTCTGTGTAGCTACAACAAGGGGTCGTGTTTGGAGGTGTCCAATAGCTTGATACCCACAGGTGGTCTGAACATATCACAAGCGTAACATTCCTTGAGGTGTTTGTTTACTGACCAATCGGTCAAGAAGAAAACTGCTTTGTTAACTTTAAACCATCTTGCCGACATAGTCTAACTTTGCCTTATTTCCGGGGCACGACAGTGACACCTTATGTAATCTTAGGCGAGTTAAGTTTTCCTAGTGGAAACACGGTCATAAACCAGTGACTCAGTTTAATCATTATTATTAAATCACCCTATGTCGGACGTATGGAGTGTAGCTGTGACGCATTCCCGATAAGAAGACACACAAAACAAATAGACATCATGAGGTTTTCTTGTTTTCATTATTATTATTGTTTTATGTTATTGTAATATTTTCATGGTTATTTATCATATGGTTATTTATCATATGAATCATTGATTTATATATTTTACCCGTTACCTGTTACCCTTTACCCTTTACCCGTTACCCGCGTTTTAGACACGCCGAGCCTGGTACAGTATCTGGAGTACTACCCAGGGCATATCTTGGCATCCCTGCTGGTGCACAAATTAGCATTGCTCTTGGGGACTTACAGTATTTAGTCCTTCAATTCGATTCAATTCAATTTCAGTTTATTTACACTGTTTTTTTCAATTTTATATAATAGAATTACAAGAATATATTGCTTACTATCAATCACGTGACTTTTTGGAGTTGACTGGGGGGCAAACAAGCGGATGACTGGGGGGCAACTTGCGGATGCTAAGTCAAAACATATCAAAATAAGTCATCAAACTATTGTATTTGACTATTTTCACGACATCAAACCAGAAAACAAGAGGTCAAAACAACCCCCAGGATTCTACAAGCCATCAAAAAAGAGCTATTRCCGGAAGTGACGTCTATTGATAGCAACCTATATATATAGTTGAATAATATTTAGAATTTTGAATATAATTAACATATAATAGGTGTAAGTCTTGAGCACAATACTGATGTAGGTATTGACTAAATTACTATAATGATGACAATAATACTAGTTATTATGTCATTTATTATAGTTACTATAAATGTGAATACATGTAGAGTTGCTTGTTGATTCTCTCTTCTGTGCTTCGAGGGTTTTCCAGGTTCTTCTGTTTTCCTCCCTCCGTAAAAATCAACTTCTAAATTCCAATTCGAATCCAGTGGAAGAAGAGCCACTTTGTGGAATCCACTGTTAAATCCCATTATTTATTATTTATTTATTATTCATTTATTTTAAGAGGCAGCATAATCCTAAAGCTTATGGAGGTTAGCATGCACAGTCGATTAGCAGTCTTCAGTGTTACACAAACTTGCAAGCTGTAAGCTATATTTCGGCAAAATTAGCTTTTTTTGCTGCCATCAATTGAAAATGCTCAGTCAGCACCTTCTAAATTTTTAACTGGTGGCAATGAATAACAAACTTAAATGAGCTACTTGCAACTACCAAGTTTGCATAATGTTGAAAATTGCTGTAAAATAGAGTCTGAATAAATATAAATGGTAAAACTTTACATTAGATCAAGATGCCACTCCTGCACTAGCTCATTCAACAAGACAATTGATGGATGCTTTAATTACTTAGTAAATAGAGTGTGTCATCCCTTTGCAATGGTGTCATTAATAATTTACGAACTTTAATGCCAAGAGACTGGTTGATTTCATGTGGCGTAGGAAACGAAAACGCTAATGTGGATGCAAAGCTTTTGATGAGTATTTGGCACTGAAACGAAAACGGAGCCTTTGCAAAAAGCATTAGTGTAGACATGTCCTCAAGAGTCTATGAGAAATCAATAATTACTTATCATCACATACATATCCCAAGACATTATTTCTTGTAAAAAAATCAGTGCTCCAAAAAGTAAAGATCAACCGTATCGATGACTATGATCTCGTGCGCATAATACAGCTTGGGCTACCTGTGGTTAGATGGAAGAACAATAAAATACTTTTGCGTCTTGCGAATTGAATAGGACGTTTGCATGATGGCGTTATTTGACTCCCACTACCAAGATGCTTCGCAAATTTCTTACTTATTTAAATTTGTATTCCCTCATGAGAATAGTAAGACAATGGGTGTGACTGAACAAAAGAAAGTGTGCAAGGGAGTCTGGTAGTAGAGGTCAATTACGCCATCACGCAAACGTCCTATTCTTTTTCATGTAAAACTGCATTCTAACATGGCTGCCGTCACGTGGCGGTGCAAACACTCTATTTTCTCAATAAGATTGCAATCATTATTACAAGGAAGACAATTGCAGTAAATGCCAGTGGAAGTGAAGAATTATCTCCTTTCTCATGTTTAACTACTCTAGTCTTTGTTGAATGCATAATATTGATATCAGCATTCATGATGGCTTCCCTCGCCCCAGGCCAGACTCCAGGCCCTGTAAGACGGTACTGGGGAGGGGTACAAGGGCCAACAAAACATCGCAAAGCAAGGGCTGGGTCTGATAACAATAGATTCAAGAAAGAAGGCTTACATCCAACCTGTTCAGCTAACTCATCGCAGTATGATATGTAATCAACCTGGAGATCATGAAAAGCAATATCTGTTATAAGGCATTTCAGGAATGTTTATTTCGAAATCAAGGGTGGTCTGTATAATAATCATCAAGGGCTTGCAGTCGTGTGTTTGTTCCCTTTCTTTGGCATTACATGTGAGTAGAGTTAGTGAGGCCTCTACCTCTAACTTATTTCAGCGTGTTTCTCTGGGTTACTAGAAATAGTCCCCGGTTTTTCTTCCACTGCGAAACCAAAAAATCCACATCAAATTTTACGTCGTGAGTTAGCCATGCCCTGATTTTGATGAGCCCAAAGTATTTCAGGGTATTGATAAAATATAGTTGAAAAGAAAATTCCAGTGTAATTTATGAATGTGTAAGACAAAGTTAAATGTCTGGCCAGGGTATTGTGCATCACATTGAATAATCTATTTGGGTAATTTGAAAAACAATTATTTCATAACTAGCTATATGACCAATGTTATTGAGGATGGGAGGGTGTACAGGCAAAAACATTTCTGTCAAAGTTGCTGGTGATGGCATACCCTCTTAAAATAAAGTATGAWTGATTGATTTTCTTAGAGGCACATTCACTTTTCCTAAACCTTTGTAGTAACTAGTATTGAGTATTCCRTACAGGAAGCCCACCATGGAATTCATTTTCTTGGGATTGTAAAAGTCTCATTTCCAAATATTAATTTCGAAAACATCAATTCAGTTACCGAAGCAAATAGATATGTGATGAATGCCATAATAAAATATCTTCAGTTAGAATTTTTACTTCATAATGAGATTTAATGTGCCAGTATGACACCTAACTCAATATTTTCATTTGTAATCTGAAGCACTGATAACTATGAGAAAACAAATTTACAATAACCTTTCCTACCTTTCTATAAATCTTTAGTATGGCAATGATGTTTTATACACAACATTTTACTTCCCCAGAAAAGTTTTTTGTTTCGTATCATTTAATAGTGCTTCCAATATTACAGTATCACAGAATCAATACCCACAATATTGAGTTAAGTGCAAGCTTCGAGGTAAATGTACTATTTATTTTTTACCTGAATAGTATGCCTCCTTGATGTGTAATACCTCTTTCTCATTTCTTCTTTCTTCTTCTTGATGTCGTTCATCATATTGCCTTCACTGGGTAGCTTTAGGATTCCTTTGAAGACACGAGTTGCCCAACGACATTGAAGTTCAGCTAAAGGGTTGATGGCCCCTAGGGGTTGGAAACACCCTATGACAGCAAGACTCCACTTGGGAAGGTGAGGTGGAAAAACATACTTGTACAGAGTAACATCATTATCATCTACTGGAATAACAGACTTGTCAATAAAGGAAAATCCAATGTCATAACCTGTGCAGAAGACAACTGCATCCAAATCAACTGCAGTTTTATCCTCAAAGACTACCCCAGACTTTGTGAAGTGAGCTATATTTGGCTTTACAATAATTGTTCCATTGATGATCCTGTTAGGAAGATCATCATTAAGTGTTGGATGTTGCTGTAAAGGAGCATGGTCTGGCTCAAGTGCAAAGCACCTATGATCAAACTTCTTGTTTGCCTGTGCTTTTAACAAAATGCCAAAAAAGGATTTGGGCAAGAGTTGAAGTATGCGACGATTGGCCCAATGGTCAATTGGAACACCACTCTCATGCAATTTTGAAAGCACCCATGATCCTTTTCTGGTACTGAGATACACTTGTGAAGCATGCCGACTTAGTTCTACTGCAATGTCACTACCAGAATCACCAATACCTTTTAAAATAACAATATTATAAATAATGAAATGATTATAATACCACAATAACACTATTAAAGACTTTAATCCAGGCTATAATTTGGCTATCTTTGTTTATTGCTGAGTTTCAATCAGCTGATAAAAGTCTTTGTATCTCATTATCTGCCTCTAAATGCTGGTCAAACACTGACACCATGTGCTGTCAACCAGAAAGAATTCTATTAAAAACTTGCAAGGCTAACATAGAAAAGAAATGCCACAGACAAGGGCGGCAGATCCCAGGGAGGGGTCCAGGGGATCGGCATCCCCACCTCCTTTACAAGTCGTTGTTAATTTCCCCTTTTTAACTCATGGATACGCAAAGTATAGAAATTAGTTGATTGTGAGGGGTCCTGGATCTGCCCTTGCACAAATTCCATCGAGAAAAGTCTGATTTGTCTTGTTTTCATTCAGTTCAGCTGATATGAACATTTTGCACAAGACAGAAAATAACGTCAAGTACAATAATCGAGCAATAGTAATAATGCTGACCACCTTTAACATCTTAAGGAAGACCCTTAAAATCCAAATTTCTCTCCCCAGAGATATCTTTAGTAATCCATATCCAGGATTTTTTTGAGAGAGGTATAAAAGGTATAAAAGACACAAGAGTCATGACTTTCACTAGACTTGAAGTTCTGAAAGGCCCATTGGCCCTCTTCTTCAGTCGTTTCATACAAGGCTCGTAATTTACCTATTACGCATGTTCTWAGAGATATCTTTAGTACGTTAATTATCACATTTTGAGAATAATTTTGAAAAAAAGCATAGAAGAAAACCATTAAAAACTTACCTACGATCAAAACTTTTTTGTCCTCAAAGCGTCTGAAATCCTTGTAAGCATGACTGTGGATTTTAATGCCATTAAATTCATCCATTCCTTGAAAGGATGGCCAGTGTGGACTGGAATGGTGTCCAATGCATACCATAACAGCATTGTATACTTCCGTCTTGACTACATTAGCTTCTGCACCGATAAGACTTACATAACACACTTCCCAGTTTCCCGTGTCGTCGTAGTCTCCAGCCTTTCGTATGTCTGTAACTTTTGTTTGATATCGAATGTACTTGTACAAATCAAAGTGTTTGGCGTAAAGATGGAAGTATTCCATAACCTTTGTATTGTGCATAAAAGGGGCAAAGTCTTTAGGAATCGGGAAATCAGAGAAGCACATCATCTCTTTGCTTGTGTTGATGACTGTAGAACGATAGACTGAGCTGTGTCGTTGTTCTTCAGTGAAGTTCCACAGTCCACCGATAGTGTCTTCTTGTTCGAAACAAACTGGTTCAATGTTTTCATCGATACACGATTTCATGGCAACAAGWCCAGAAGSACCTGATCCAATGACTGCTACCTTCATGGTGAATTATACTCAGGAATTTCTCCTCGCAGGGTAGTCGAACTGATAAAGACTACAATCACTTGACGAGGGCCAGACTACCTTCCCCACTGCCCCTCCCCACTGGTCCCTACTGGGGAAAATTTCGGATGCCGGCCACAGGAAGCCCAAAACCAATTATGAGCAATCTCGACCCCAGGGATCTCTCAGTCGACTCCACATGTCAAAACCAAAATGGCCGACAAAACTTTGGACCAGGAACTTTTCCTTGGAATTGACCTCGGGACTACTTCTGTCAAAGTTACGCTTTTGGATTATGTTTCTAAGAAGGTTTTAATGTTCCTTAAGGAAGACACAAAGGCTGTTATAGTGTCCAACCAAAGTATTTCATCTCAACTCTCGGAACAAAACGTGGGTCTAATTTTCACAGCTTTGAACAGAATTCTAACTTCCATTTCTGCAGAACTTAGGTGTCGTGTTCAAAAGATTGGTATTTGTGGACAAATGCATGGCTGTGTGTTTTGGAAAAAAGGCCATGAAAAGTTTAATATTGAGCATTTTAACGAAAGTGGAGAATGTGACTTCATTTCTCATTTAATCACTTGGGAAGACCAACGATGCTCCACGCAATTTTTAAATTCTTTACCAAAAACCGAAAACTCTCTTCTCTTATCTACTGGCTTTGGCTGTGCTACAATATTTTGGTTTGCCAGAAATAATCCGAGCTTCCTGTCCACATATGAATATGCTGGGACTGTACAGGATTTACTCGTAGCTCTGTTGTGTGGCACGTCCAAACCGATCATGTCGACACAGAACGCTTTTAGTTGGGGATACTATAATTTGAAGGAAAAAGCATGGGAAAAAGAGATGTGAGTTTTCTAGGTGTATATCTCCAGGCAAAAAAACCTACTACTGTATTCACAGACAGCTACTTTATATTAAATTTAAATATCTAACAGTCACAAGCTATAATCCTAGGCCCGATTGTACTAATGGCGGATAGTGCTATCCAACAGATAAATACTTATCCAGTGAATAAGTCAATTTTGTTCTAGTTATCCAATTACATTATCCACTTGATAAGATTTATCTATCTGATCGCACTATCCACCCTTCGTACAGAGTAAGGTTGTAGCTTCAAGAAGATTGCTGAGCCCTGCAAGTGTGACAGCTATCGTTACACATGATCAAATTGAAGGATGTAATTGGGTGACCACCACAACTACCAGTAATGGGAAACTAAACAATAGAAAGCAGACTTCTTGAAGCTGCAAGACACCTGTTTATACGAACAGGCCCTCAACATTTGATAAGCCATATATGGAGTATTCTCCTCCAATTTCTATGGGATTTCGAACTGTCAGCTTGCACATCACCTCTGCTTTCAATAATTTAGCACAGGTGTTGTGAGCCATTTACTGTATTCTTGGTGCATGTTACGTCATAGCCGCCATGTTGGTGGACGATAAAAAAGCATTCCTTATTAGCTTTTTGTGTTAGTTCATGCAACATGGTGCCAGCTTCAGATCAGCTGCTTGTTTTTTATATTACATGATTGTAACACTATGTAACTCTTCTGTTTTCTTCAAATAATATGACCAGGTTAGAAAATGCTGGGTTTCCTGTTCATTTCCTCCCCACAGTGCGCGAGCCTGGTACAGTATCTGGAGTACTACCCAGGGCATATCTTGGCATCCCTGCTGGTGCACAAATTAGTATTGCTCTTGGGGACTTACAGTGTTCAGTTCTTGCAAGTCTTGAGCAAAATACTGATGCAGGTATTGACTATAATGACTATATAATGACTATAATGATGACAATAACACTAGTTATTATGTGTTTTATTATAGTTACTATAGTTACTAATGTGAATAGAGTTGCTTGATGATTATCTCCTGTGCTTTGAGGGTTTTCCAGGTTCTTCCGTTTTCCTCCCTCCGTAAAAATCAACTTCTAAATTCCAATTCGAATCCAGTGGAAGAAGAGCCACTTTGTGGAATCCACTGTCAAATCCCATTATTTATTTATTTTAGGACGCAGCATAATCCTAAAGCTTAGGGGGGGTTAGCACAGTCAATATTAGCAGTCTTCAATGTTACACAAACGTACAAGCTGTAAGCTATATTTCGGCAAAATTAGTTTTTTTTTCTGCCATCAATTTAAAATGCTCAGTCAGCACCTTTTTCATTTTTAACTGGTTGCAATAAAAAAACAAACTTCAATGGGCAACTTGCAACTACCAAGTTTGCATAATGTTGAAAATTGCTGTAAAATAGAGTCTGAATAAATATAAATGGTAAAACTTTACATTAGATCAAGATGCCACTCCTGCACTGATTCAACAAGACAATTGATCGATGCTTGAATTACTTAGTAAATAGAATATTTGCATGTAGAGTTAAGAGATGAATTTTTTTTTCAGTTCTCAATATTGGCACTTCATCTCAGATAGCCGTCATCGTTCCTAGTCAGGGTTTGTGTTCTTACAATAATTGTATTTTGCCAAGTATTCAATTTTGGCCATTTTTTGATGCAGCAGTAGTAGCAGTAGCAGCTTCACTAACAGGTAAATAAGTGTACTGATTCAATCTTTTACTTGTTATCTGATGTAGTGGGTCAGAAAAAGCAATTGCGCTTTAATTGTTTTCTAAACAGCTTGAATAGAGGAATAGAACATTTTCAAGTTACAATTACCACTGTAATATTTGACAGCAGACGCACCTGCATAGAGATATTCCCAAATGGCTAAAGAATAGCACAAAAGAAGGCATGAAATGATGTTGACATTGAACACTAGAGAAATACATTCACATTTTTTCTCAATAGAGACTAACCCTCTATTCCCAAACGGTCAAAAAGCATTTAAACAAAAAAAAAATGTTGACACTAAAAGGACAACCCTGTAGTGATGCATCATCTAAAAATGAGAAACTGGAGTATCATAGCTGTTATTTGAATGCCTTGCTTTGCAGACTCGACTTTTTTTTACACCCAATGACTTACAGATCACTGAGCATAAACAATTGCATCTGCAAAGCAGGCTACTTTTTGGCAGGATTTAAAGAAAATTATTGCTGCCAGTCCTTATTAATAATCTTCAAAATTATTACTAGCATGTTGGAATAGCCCAGGATCCTCCTCCTTGTTCATTCAATCCATGTGGCAAGGCAATGTCAATATAGCAATAATTAGCTGATGATAACTTTAAAATAATGGAGTTGAAATATGGTATTTTTCATCTGGTTACTGTTTCTTTTACTTAAATGTTCAGTATGAAAATGAATTCTTTCTTTGAATTACGGTATCTTTCATTGTATTTCTTTTGAAATTATTAACGAGTCCTGGTTTCAATAGCAAGCACCAGTTTGGAAAAAAAGTTAAACAGAAGTGAGATTCAAACCATAACATGTAACAAGAAAAAACTTGATAAATATAGCATTAATTCTTTTTTTTTATTTCCAAATTGTTTTTAAAGGAGGAAATGCATTGGCAACCTTCGTTGCAACACTTCAAGACTGGATGAAGGAATTAGGCATGCCAGCCATACTCAGTAAGCAGGAACTTTATGCAAAGCTCCTGAAATGGGGTGAAGGAAAGACTGACACATCTTTAAACATAAGACCCACTTTATGGGGAGAAAGACATCAAACTAACTTGACTGGGAATGTGTCTTGTATGAGTGAAACTAATATCTCCTTGGGGGACATCACAGCATCCCTTTGCAATGGTGTCATTAATAATTTACAAACTTTAATGCCAAGAGACTGGTTGATTTCATGCGGCGTGAAGAGAATTGTGGGCACAGGAAATGCTTTAGCACGAAATGCAATCCTTCAGAAACAAACTGAGAAAGTTTGGGGGTTACCGTTAGTGATAAAAGAGGATTCTGATGCATCACATGGTGCTGCACTTGCTTTATTTCAAAGTAAATTAATACAATCTCTGGAAAAATAAGGTTTGGAGATAATTATATTTATAATAATAGAAATAAATATGTAATTATATTAACACTTTTATCCAAATCTGCTCGATCATAGGCTCGATTTCCAGCCGTGGTGGTTTTTATGCACCCTTGGGATCCTTCGGAACAAACATCAACCTCACGGCTGAAACTGAGCCTAATCTATGCACTAATGACAAGGAAAGAAAAAAAGAAAAAAAATTATAWWCAGATGTAATATTTCAAAATTGATAGGCAAGGAAAAGTAGCATCTGGTAGCTGATATAACTTAGGGCCCTTTCCATTAATTTAAATTGGTCCGAGCAGCCAGTTCTTGAATTGTACGTATAAGTTCTTAGAACTGGACCAACCCATCCCGAAGCAGTTCTAAGAATTGACACAAACCATTTTTGAGAACTGACAACTCAGAACGATTACTTTGACTTAATAGAAAGTGTACTTACTATGTACAGTATGATAGTGAGTATATGATATAAAAAGCAATAATTTATTTTCATTTATAATACTTTACTAGAAAGAAATAATTATTCCACAAAGTTACCAAGCTTAGCATTTGTATGTTTGGGATACCTGTGGTAGGAAACAGTTATCTGGTCATTTCCCAACTCAGAAATCCCAGCTTTGCAATTGCCGAGCCTTATGAAGCAAACGTGCGATTTTAAACATTTTGCATGGGGGTGGTTGGTTTTACAGCTCTTTGTCCTCTGAAAATTGTTGAAAGCATCCGTGCATAAGAGTAAAACAGATCATTCATCTTTGCTTGATTCTTACTATATACATTTAGAAATATTCCAAAAAATACTATAAAACCTGACCATAGGTATCTGAAAAAAACAATCAAAATACAGTTTAGACCAAAGGGAGCCCAATTCAGGTAAAAGTGAAAGGTGAAAATAAAATTGAAACAAATTGATCTTAACTAATTTTTGTGCTAAAATTTGAGCACAAGATAGYGTTCTCCATAAAACGAGGAAAACATATTTGTATTACTAGGCAGAGTGAAGAAACAAGAAATAATAATTATATGTAATACAAATATTTTACTATTCAAATATTACCACTCTTTTCATTGCTCCATGCTGATCAAGACAACAGTCGCAACAGGGAAATTGGACAATACACTTCCATTAATCAAATAAATTGGTCGGTACCTTTATAATCTCTGATAAGCACCAGTGTATTGCCCCATTTTCCTGTTGCAACTGTTATCACGATATGCACGTAGCAGTAAAAAGAGTGGTCACTTCACGTAGAATCAATAATGGAAATATTGAGTTAGGGGTGAGATAATAGACAACAGTCAATTAATGAAAGAAATTGTTGATACTAAGAGTACTGGATGGGAATGATATATTTGATTTTTCATTACTGACACAAGTACTTTTGTTTTGATCAAAGGTGTAGCAATAAAAAGTATGAAAGAGTACAGCATACAAGTCTGCTGTTGATTAAAAAAAAAACGTTTTTCATGAGGGTAGCACTTAATAGCCAGTGGCTAACAAACCTGTGGCCTTCATTCCGTGATCGAATTGGAATTTAGAAGTTGAATTTTGCGGAGAGAGGAAAACCGGAGAACCTGGAAAACCCTCGAAGCACAGGAGAGAACCAACAAACAACTCTACTCATATACAACACCAAGCCTGGCGGGACTCGAACTTGGGTCACATTGATGAGAGGCGAGCGCTCACACTGCTGCTATGCCACCCGTGCTTCCCAATTCAACAGATTGTATACATTTGTAACATTACGGACTTCAGTTTATTGGAAATGTTATGTACTTACTGTATTGTAAAAGGTTTAGAAAAGAACATGAATGAGAGTACCATTGTAACTGCTTTGCGGAAAGTTGTAACTGAAAAAATATAGATATATCAATTGTGTCAATATCATTTTGAATTCTGTTATTCAATCATTCAGTCAGTCAGTCTATTCTTTAACTCAATCTATTTAATCATTCATTCATTTTACCCATATATTATAGAATTTTGTTTTCTTTATTTGCTAGCCATGGATGTAAAGCATTTTAGAATATTTTAATAGGTTGAGTGCTATGTAAATTATATTATCATATGACCTGTATCTGCCCAGGTGCGGGGTCTTAGAAAGACCTTCGGGAAAATGGTGTGAGCAGGGCCGTACGGCTTTGAGCGAGCAGGGCCATACAAATTCGTTAGGCCCTGTTTGAATCGGTGCTCTTTCTTTTTTTAACTATTTTTCTTTTCGTGACCTGGTCATATGATAAAATGCTTATTGACTGAGTTAGGTCGTACAGGAAAATATTTGGAACTCGGTCATTTGTACGGACCTTGCAGTGCTCGGTGCGTACGGCATCACCTTGAGCCAAATATTTTCCCGTACGGTCCTTTCACTCAGTCAATAAATACATATTATATTATGTCATGCAATGCATGTTCTTACTTGTAACTGCTGTTAATGCCCCAAATATTCTGACCAGCATCAAAACAAATGAGATTCCTAAATATCCACTAATTGAAAAAAGAAATGCCAAGCTATAGATCTTTATGGGTTTCTGTACGAATAAAGAAAAAAGATTATTTCATACACATACATTTTGCACCATCATGTGATGGCAGCCATCTACCCGTGGAATTGCTCGGACAACATTGCAAAAGTTGAAACAATTTCTACTTTTGTGACGTTGCTGGTGACAATTTTTATGAGATGTCACAAGGAAAGTTGCTATATTTGACATCCTCCTAAAACCAAAAACCCTGTTGCAAGCAACCTTTGATCRTGTGTCCAGCCCTTAAGAAGTTACAAAATACGGCCACAATTATTTATATTTCATAAATCACTAGATATAACACATACCTGGGATGAAAATAAGAATGCATCCCAAAGTTGGCCCGTAACAAGAAGTCCAAATAAGATGTACAGAAAACCAATCCCATAGGAATATAAAACCTTAGAGGAAAGATGAGTAATTATTGATAGTAAGTTACACTGTATATTTGTGTATATAAGTGAGTAGTCCAGAGCTGGACTTATTATTATACTACAAAAAATTAATGTTCATGGGTTTTTTGCAATTACCACTTCTGAATTACTACTATTATGAGACTTCATGGCCTTCTCTTGAACATTACCAATGACAGCATCAGCTAAAAGAGCCAGTGATATTAATATTACACCTAAAAAAAGAAAAACGTTTTAATAGTGAGAGCTGTGTGAGAGTGTCATAATTGTGATGAAAGTGATGTGTTCCAAGCTTGCACTGCACAAACAAATAGATTTGCAAGTGTAGAAAAGATGGTGCAAATAATGTTAATGCCATATTTGATCACACATGCACTTGCGCAAAGATAGGGTTCACCACATCTTTACATGGTCTTTTTTCACYATTTTCACTATTTCACTGTTTATGTGAAATAATGGCATGCATAACTGTCATGGCCATAACCAACTGCATTGGGTGCACAGGCACCCTCCCCCTGCAAAAACTGAAGGGCCGCTGAGTCATTTGTAATTTTTTTTTTTAATCTGCACATTTTAGTATTTTAATTATTGGAGCGATCATTCTTTTCTTTGGTTCTGCAAATCCTTGGAATGCTATGCCACCTCTCAAGATACCTGTTAGCTTAGACATAGTCTCATTCCTTGTCCACTCACCCTGCAAGACCCCTGGTTACAGCCCTGCCTGTATAATGACTATACATGTGTATCATTATATCATGATTGTCCTAAAACCTTGCAAAAATTAAAAATTACAAGCTCGATTGGACTGGATTCCCAAATTTCACCTACAAACCACCATTTAGCTGGCAATGAAAATGGCACATTGCATGCTTCTATAGCATGGCACAGTGCATTGTGGATGACTAAAAAATCATACAAAAGAATGTCAACTAATGCCATTGTTTTATTGCCATTTATATGCCATTATGATACCTGTATTGTTATAATCAGGTTGTACTTTACTGTCTGCTAGCGTGAAGAGTATGAGACCTATACTCATGCATAAACAGGCTACGAAATCTAATGGTCCATACTTTTTTCCTGAAATTAAAATTATTTATAATATAAATTAATATCAGGTTAATAGAGGTTTGTTGTTAGAGTGAATATGGGAGGAATATTTCCGTTCCTTGCAACGCGATTTGGAGCACATCTGTCGGCTTTTAGCCTTTTCCTAGATTGGCTTCTAATCATGTTCAGAGAACAGCACCAACAACACACATGCATATATAACTCCCCATACTTAAGAGGGCTTAAGATAACGGCCAATCAGTCGCCGGTCATGAATGCCGGCCAAAATTAGTTTTAGCTTAGTCATACCTCATTTCTGGCTAAACATTACTGGTCAGAATGAATGGCAAGGAAAAGATTTGACCATACATGTTACAGTTCTGGCTGGACATTATCCGATGTCCAGCTGTTATTTTAAGCCCTGTACAAGTACACTGCTTGGGCTTCCTGTGGTGTCACCTCTCATTAAATATTACATTCTAAAGTTTATTGTATTGTCAATAATGAATGAGCTCTCATGAAGTCATTAAGTCTCATGTGAAACTTGGTAGCTCAGTGGTTAGAGCATGGAACAGGAATCGCCAGGGCACGGGTTCAATTAACAAATCAAAAACAGTTTTCCGTGTTTGATACTCTGATCAAAACACRTGGGATGTTTCCAGCTTCTCGAGTGTTTTCCCAACATCCCAAGTGTTTTGGTCAGAGTATCAAACACGGAAAACTGTTTTTGATTTGTTTTATAAAATAACAAACGCACAAAAAGATCAAAAAAAGCAAAGTATAAGTAAATTCTCCCTACCTGCCGTCTTATTCAAACTGATGATAAATTAAAATCTGACAGTTGCAATACTCGCGCGTGCTAAAATGACGCGAGTGTGTTTTGATACTCTCATCAAACATGGTTTTCGACCAATCATAGCGTGCCTACTATCCCAATTATTTTATAAATCCCATTCAAGACTCAGAAGTTTTTCTGAGTCTTTCAATTTTCAGCTGCATAAGTTGCTTTATATACTGCGAGGATCAGCTCAATTTGATACAATACAACCACAGTACAAATACATATTTCATTTTATATTCTAATACACACAATGTATAAACTGGCACATGAAAAGGTAAAATGTGTGTACAGATCATCTCACCTTGTATAAGAATACCACCAATCATAACTGGAATAAGTTTACAGCTTTTAAAAATAACCTGCAGAATGAAAGACACCAGCACTCAATAATAATATCCATTACATTATCAATTATTAAGTTAAACATATTATATGCAGGGATAAAAATAATGGCTGGTTAGTTGTTAGATCAGTTTTAGCTTAGACATACCTGGTTAACTTTTTGGCTCAATGTTAATGGTCAAAATGATCCACTGGCAAGGCAAAGATTTCACTGGACAAGTTCCAATAGACCTAATTTATCTTGGTGCAATATTTTCGCATTACGGACCATGTGTCATTCCCTAGAGTATCATTTGTTTGTTCGGTTGTGCATGAGTAGACAGTACAAGAATAACATTGCAACCAAGACGAATTAGGTCAATGGACTACTTCAACTATATGGCAGCCATCTTGGATCGCAAGGCATTATGGAGCATCCATGGGCAAATAAAGCTTTCTTGCAGTAATAACGAAGATTGATTAACAGCTCACCATAAGAAAATACAACAAAAGATGAATTAAGACAACACATTGATCACCTTTACTCATAAAAAAAGACAACACACAGGAAGCCTTATAAATTTTCCATTATCTTTGTTCGATTTGCCCCCTGGCAAGATGGCTGCCATATCGTCAAAGTAGTCTATTCTGCATGGACATTTTCTTCTGACCGGCTATTATTCGTAGCCCTGATATGCATAAATTGGGTTACCTGTGTTGGGTAGTTAAGGTAACCCAGAGAGGTGTTGGAGAGTCCCATTGTGGAGACGGTCAAAAACGCTAAACCTGCGTAGGTTTTTAAAGGAATTCTACGAACAAGATAGAAAAAACATCTCTAATTGCAAGTCTTTCATTTTTTACAACACACTATGTGTTAACATTAATTTATTAATACAGTGGCAGGGGCAGATCCTGGAATTTGTTAGGGAGGTGTCTTGGCATCATAAATATTTCTTTGCTTCAAAAAAGCTAAGAGTAATTACGGCGTTAGGGGGGGTGTCTGGTGCACCGCAGGACACCTCCCTGGATCGGCCCCTGAATGGATATCTAAGATGACTTACTTTCTAGTATTTTCTCCACCAAGGTGTTTTTGTATTGTACCAAACAGAGAATAAAAACCGAATTGAACCAGTGTCAGATACCATCCGTATGGCTTGAAGCCTTCAATTCTGAATATCCATTCCTACACGAAAAGATGAAATAGTTCACGGTCGTATATGAATCATTACAATATCACAGGAGAAGAGAGAAAACAGGGTGTTTCATTAAAATTGTTATTAAAGCCTTGAAAGAATATATAAAGCCAGCTAACGGAAATGGGAGATAAAAATGAAATACCTGTTGAGAAAGGGAATCACCTTATATTACAGTACCCCTTACAGTAAATGATTTTTGGATCTCATTTTATCACCAGTTTCAGTATAGCGAGAGATTGAAAAGCTTATCATATATTTAATAGACAAATTACGGATAGTTTCTCCCACAGTTATGAACTTACTTGAACATAGCCATACACAAGATAAAATAACAATACTCCTCCACAACAAATAGCCATTTGAAGAGGTTTAGATAACCCGTCCAAGGGGATTCCAAAGACATACAAGTCTTCTCTGCTAACAGATCTTCTCGGTAATTCATTTTGCCCATCTTTTTCAATATCAATTACTGTACTTTTTGTATTGGAGTCTTTGATATATGGCATCGTCCGGTTAATAGTCCCATTTGGGAAGCTTGGAGTAAAATATTTTCTTTCTGAAGAAGCCATACAATTATGTTGGTTATGTGGCAATACCACAGGGAACCCGGCACAACATTGTAATTACTAAAGCCAGCATTACGTTGAGTCAGCGGTATAAAAAGAAGGAACACCACAGGCAGTTTCTTTTGAAAAATCAYTGAAAATGAGAATTCGAATTAAAAAGGTTTTGAAATTTAAAAAAAATACTTGTACGCTTTTTTGGGGGGAGGGTGTTGAATTTTCCTTGTGATTTTTCAAAATTATTTGGACAACCTGACGTCACCTCAACATGCATGTTGTCCTTTATTCTATCTAGTTCAGTACTATGTACTTATTGACTGAGTGGGAGGGCCGTACGGGAAAATATTTGGCTCGAGGTCATGTCGTACGGACCGAGCGCAGCGAGGTCCGTACAAATGACCGAGAGCCAAATATTTTCCCGTACGGCCCGATCTAACTCAGTCAATAAGCATTTTATCATATGACCCTCACRAAAATAAAAATAATTAAGAAAAAGAAAGCGCGCGGATTCGAGCAGGGCCGGACGGATTTTTCCGGCCCGCTTATACGTCAACCCGTCCGGCCCCCATCACGTGACTTTTTCTAATGGTTTTATTAGAGCGCGCGAGCAGGGCCGTACGGGTCATATGATAGACGCATTTACCATATTTGGTATTTTCGGAATATGACGTCATGTGCAGATTATTACATCACAAAAAACGCGCTAAAACTTTAGATCTCTCAGATACAGAAACATTCCACACGTGAATTTGAAGATGATTGCATTACTAATAATTGGCCTTGTTTTTGCGTCTTATTTCGGAATAGAATACGTCATAGACCACGTGATATTTTCACACATCCCCAGGAGCATCCAGTCAGGTACACAGCATCGCACATTACCAGCATCTAACTTGATCTGGAAATKGTTGATTTGCGCGCCATTCGCGCACCAACAGTCTGTCTACATACATTATTCAATTCTAGTTTACCATGATTTGATTTCTTTGCAGAACAAGTCAAACTCCTGGTCCACGAGGTACAAACCTTTGTCGTGCATGAATTTATTAACAACGGTAAGGACACGGGCGCTTTAAGAGTTAGTAGCATTAAGTACTTACAGTAAGGAGGAGATTGATATTTGATGCACGCACCGCAAACAATCGTAAAAAATCTCTTCCTTCCATACGTATCTAATGTTGAATGCAAATGTGTCTCTACCTCGAAGGCTAATAATGTAAAAATAATTATTGGAAAAGGTTAAGCAGGTTTATATCGTAAATTATAAGCACAAGGGCTGAGTTATCTGTAGAAGGCGTAGGCTGTGAAAACAAAACACAATAGTTTTTCATCCTCAAGATCTTTACCGGATCAACAAAACCACCATCAGATATTATCATGTTCGAGTTTGCATCATATCAAAGATTTGCTGAATGTTCTTACCCAATAACCATAGAGTGAGTACAAGTGTGTCTTATATCCTGCAGTGACAGATCCAGAAGTACTTCAATTGCTGTCAAATGATTTTGTCAACCGAACGTTCAACACTATTAAAGCAGCTCTTATCCCAGGTAAAACTTCATCTAAATTTCACTGAACTAGAACTCCCAGAGAGTGATAGGTATAGCCATGGGATGGGACACTGTTCACTGTGGCAAGTCATGGGTGGGGTAGAAGGGTATGGAATCAGGAGTGATAGGTAACCATGGGATAGCACACTGTTCACTTGTAAGTCATGGGTGGGGCAGAAGGGTGAGGAATCAGGAGTGATAGGTAGCCATTGGATAGGAAGCTGTTCACTTGTAAGTCATGGGTGGGATAGAAGGGTGTGGAACAGGAGTGATATGTAGCCATGGGATGGGACACTGTTCACTTGTAAGTCATGGGTGGGGTAGAATGGTATGGAATCAGAAGTGATATGTAGCCATGGGATGAGACACTGTTCACTCATCATCCTCATATTATTCTGTTTGATTAGATCAAGTTATTGCCAACACAAGTGCAAATTCCACCACGGCACTAGGGATCTTTATTCCGCAAGATAATGCTGTCAATGTTCGGCGCTACCTTTTTTATGTCCTTTTCTTTGTGCTTTTTATTGATCTGGGCTTTATAGTTTACCGACACTGTTGGTGAGTGATACCGTGTAAATTTACTTGTMTTTTCGATTCAATGATAAATCAGGTTTAACAGTTCGTAGACCTCCTCGGCTCGGGCGTAATGTTTTTCCATTTCAGACCACGTGTCATTCCCTAGTGTAACATTTATTTATTTAACGCTTACTCAAACAAAGAATCTTATTTTCAAGGGAATCACACGTGGTCTGAAATGAGAAAACATTACGCCCGAGCAGAGGAGGTCTATTGATTGCAATTACTTCTACATCTACATTTACATTTATTAAAGTGCATCAAAGGGAGAACACATCACTGATAGACTATAACTAAAATAGACCTATATACAAAATAGATAATAAATAAGTGAATATTAAAATATAAACTTACTTAACAAAAACTAGCCGACGACGACAACAGCCACAACCTGTTTATCAAGAAGAAGAAATTATAGTCAACGGACGATTTCGACGGATAAGAAGAGAGAGCAACCAGATACCACGAGAAGAGAAAGAAGAGCAAATGGAAGGGGTCATGTGAGTAGTGGTAGTTGAATTGATCCCATCTTTAAACRACGATTAAGTTAATTTAATYARATAAAACACKTTTTTTGAAGTTTGCGMCGAGACATGGCTAATGGGAGGCCTTATTGGGTTAGAAGGATGGAAAACCAGATACCACGAGAAGAGAAAGAAGAGAAAGGAGAAGGGTTGATGTGAGTATTTCCGTCTTACTCTCAGTGTCTCTTCAGAGATATTACACTTAGTTATTAAATTAACTGAAATGCTTTTTATTTTGAAGTATGCTCCGAGTTGGAATTGATGGAACGCCTCGCTGGATAAGAACAAACAGCTTCCAATCCAGTTAAAGAGAGGCGAGGTTGGTAGAGGCGCGTGCACGGAGAGCAGAAAATGGGGTGGCAGAGGAAAGACCGGCAATTGCAATGGTACAGAGGGCATTGGCAATGCAGAGGGCAGTTGCACAAAGAGCAATGGCACAGGGGGCAAGGGCACAGGGGGCAAGGGCACAGGGGGCAAGGGCACAGGGGGCAAGGGCTCATAGGCCTAGAGCAATGGCTCAGAGGGCAGAGGAACGGGTGGCAGACGAAAGGCCGGCAATTCGACCAGTGGCAGAGGCACGTGCACAGAGAGTAGAGGAAAGGATGGCAGAGGAAAGGGAGGCGTAAGTATTAGCCATTTTAATTTTTGTTATAATTAGCATTTACTAGTAAATARAATAATTAAATGTACTACTCTTCACTATTTTGAAGATTGCACTGACGAACGATCTCTCTAGCTGAAAAACAAAATCTGCAGCCATGAACTGAAGGAGTCAACAACAACAATATGAAAAAAAGGAGGAATTGCATTTCGAGTCATGGAGATAAATATTAAGGTTATTTTAAGTGTATATTTAAGTATAGTTAAGTGACTTGTTTGACAAAATATCTCCTTGACAATGAGTGATAACCAAGTTTCCTAAACGACAATCTCTTAAGACCTTGAAGTAAAGTCTATTCGATGTATACTGAACTTTTTTTTCCGATTGAAACTCCGTATTTTTCACAAAAATAAAACGAARTATACCTTATACATCTATGTTCACACGATCGCCCTAAAAGTAAAATTATATGTTTAGGCTTATTGTCAGTCGAAATCTATAAATGTAGCAGTTTTAATMGAAAATAATCCGATGAGTTGTAAAACGTATTTTGTGAAATACGAGCTAATAAATCCAGGTTTTAATATACTTGTGAAGAGTTTTTTTTAGCAGATGTCAACCGAATCTAAATATTTATTTACTGACTTCATAATGGCGGCTTTGGTGATATATAGAGGATATAATAATTATATAATAAACAGAATATTACATGGGCRCGCGGAGATACGAAATTTATCTTCGAGTGTTGAAAAGATTTTCAACACGCGAAAAGAATAAATTTCGTATCTCCAAGCGCCCATGTAACATTCTGTTTATTATATAATCATCCATAAAATCAACTTAATAAGCTTTTTATTATTATAAAA